ATATGTACAAAAGGAGAAAGAATTAAAAAACAGAATTTTTAATTGATAAGATAAAAAAATTGACGAACGATTCTTTTTAGATTTCATATTTATTATACTTACATTTATTTTTATTAAAAAATTTCCTTTAAAAGATTTTTTTTTTTACACGAAGAATACAAAAAATAACATACTATTGCATTATAACCTTTTACTTTATTTATATTGATAAATAATAGATATAAATAAAAATTAGAAAATCTGTAAACTCTTCACTTGATTTTTTTTACTTAAGAATTAATTAACAAAAATTTTTTTCCTTGTAATCTTTATAGAAATTTAATACTGTTTTTAATGCTGAAATAGTAAATTATTTATTTCAAGTATTAAAAGCAATACTGTTTAGTGCCTTTAGTATTCTAAATAAGAAATTAATTATTATTTTTCAGTAATAAGTTGGCTAATATTAGATTTCTGTTAAAAATTTAACTATAAATTGATCAAAAATCTATATATATAGAAGTACAGAACATAAAAGTATTTTAAATGTTTCAAATGGTTTAGTTGAAAAATGAGAAAAGTTATTAATCTTTAAAATGCATGAACATCGGAAAACAGTTCGCCAACTATATTGACTAATTGTTCGCAAACACTGTTTGTAAACGGTACATGTAAGAAATTCGCGATCCGTTCTCGAATATTTACGAAAATTAAACATGCTGCGATGTTCACTTCATATTTTGTCGTTTTCTTCGTGGGATGGTCATAATTGATTATTTAAAAATCTATTAAATTAAATAGATGCGATTATAAATCAGTTACATTCTTTTTATTATAGTACAATCAAGATACAGATCCTGTTTGTGACTCCTGTTGACCCTCAAGACTAAAAAATAATTAATTATTTGAATAATTGATTATTATATCCATTTCTATTTCTTTGTGATCTTACCGTTCTTAGAACGAACTTGTAAACAACTACTCACAAACAACAACCAATCACGAATTACTTATTAACCGTTTGCAAATTGCATTCATGAATAAATGTTCGATCAGAAATAAAACAATTTGCGATCTGTTTACAGACTGTTCACCAACTCCGTTAAAAACGCATCTTTTATAAGTCTAATACCTCATCAACACTTGACGTGTCAGTCGCACATATGACACTAGATTACAAGTTACCCATTACGATACCGTGTTATTTGAAAGCAATCTTATCTTTTTTTTATGTAAAATCACTTGATTTTTTACACCACATTTTAAATTATTGTAGCATTTTGGCTGGTTAAGCTTGATATTTTATATTTGATATTTTTTTGAGTACAGAAGTAGTAAAAGATCAATCAGTGGTTAACAAATACTGTAAAAAATATCGTTCAACATTCATGTAATTCGCGGAAGTGTCTCATTTGACTACGTTGCGATCATTAATAACGATCGATGCTTAGTTTTTTTATGAATTGTGGTACGGAATTCCATCCGTAATTCACAAGCATTAATGTGTATTCGATAATTTTTTTATCAAAACATTTTTTCCAATTTTTCCATTTTTCTACATAAGATGATACATATAAAAAGTGTTATAATTCAGTAATATTGTTAAACGAATAATTTTGTATAATTTCTGTAATAATTTTGCTCATTTAGTCATCATATTGACTTTCCACGTCATCTTGATTTATTATCGCCAAATGTGAGTGAATTTCACGTGATATTGATTTACTTAACACTGCCAAATGTGAGTTATTTATTCGGAAACCACTGACGTATAGCTTAATTTAAAGTCATTAAAATATTTTTTTTTTAATAGACACCAACTTTCCTTTTCCAGTTTTAATTTTTTTAATATACAGAAAATCTCTGATGCATAGATTAATAAAACGTTAACCTTTATGTTATATGATATATAAATAACTTGGAAGTTTTCTGAAATGTACAAGAAAATAATTGATGTAAAATTTGAATTGAATAGCTGAAGTTTGAATAGCTATCGACAAATAGCAGAAAAGGACAATTGGGCATGTTTTTCATCGACAATTATTAATTGCGCGGAAGGATTAAACAAACTCATGGAGGATTTGTTTTAACTAAATGTAAATGCAGCTTCTATTCACGGTAGTTTTTTGAAGTCTTACACTATTTACAGAATGTAAATTCCCCACCCAGATAAAAAGCTGTCTGATATAAATAACGGTCGCGACGGCAGTCGTTTTCATTACAAAATACGATTACACGAAGCATCGCATCGTACGCAAACAGATCAGTCGGTTATATACCTTCATTCATTGATTTCTTCGTCAAAGTAAAAAAATCTATTCGTAAATAAGAAGAGACTCTTACGACATGTATCTCTTGCCATTGTTATTCTCAAATCTTCATTTGGGATTGGGTACTCCCACTAATCCGATAGATCTCTTCACTGGAACTCTCGGTAGAAACCTTGCTCGATCGCGATTATTCTCTCGCTTCCGTGATCGTTATTCTTCAAGTAATTTTCACGGTCGCGAGGTTTTGGATTTCTATCCTTATACCTCATGGAGGAACCTAAATCGTAACAAACATGTCATCAGTACTACGAGTATCGACAGTGGCGGCTTCAAAATCACCGTAAACGTGCAGCAGTATAATCCGGAGGAAATCACCGTCAAAGTGGTGGACAATTGGGTGATTATCAAGGGCATGCACGAAAAGCAGAACAAATCCAACGTTGGGTCCCAGCAGTTCGTGATACGATATCTATTACCTGGTAACTCTGACATCGATCATATAACATCTTCGACATCGAGTGATGGCATCTTGACGATCATGGTACCGTTGAAGAATTATCAAAAGGTGATCCAGATCGAGCAGAGCAGACAATCGGCCGTTTCTTTTAATAATACGGGACAGGTTCGTTCGGGACAAATTGGCATGGAACAGATTGATGTTAGACAAGCTGGATTTGCTGGCGCAGGACAAGCTGGAGTGGACGCGAGTTTTGCTGGCATGGGACAGGCTGACCGCGTAGGACAGGTTGGCATTGGACAGGCTGACGTTGGGAAAGCTGACGGAATAAATGATAACAACTTAGCAGACACGAGGCAAGATTAAAATCCAAGAAACGATAGATTAAATTATTCTTTTTCTTTTTTTATCTGATACGTTATTTTATATTTTGCATTACCTTTTATAAAATTATATTCCACACTGCTTACACTTGCATTTTTTTTTACAAGATTACATTCTTTGCTGTTGGCTACAATATGTTTTTGTATTATAGTTACACATATACACACACATACACACACGCGCGCGTGCGCACACATATATATACATATAAATTTGTTTTCCTTCATTGTATTATTGAGACGTTTTGTGGTATAATAATCTATTCTTGAAAAAGAAATGTTTTTGTAATCTTACATTGATAATAAAATAAAAGGATTTTTACATTACAAAGCATTGATTCAAAATTATATTATTTCTTTCATTTCAGTTATGTTCATTGTAATGTTTATGTTATCAGAATTAAACATAATTATGTTTGAATATAATAGAGATTGTATTTTTTTATTTAAAAATAAAAAATGTACGCGTATATTCATAATGGAGACTATTATATAAATATAATATATTGAAAACGTATTGATATTACATAAATATAATATTTCGTAAGAATTAAAGTTTTACGTATATATGTTATTATCATTTTGTAATATTTTTCTCATAATTAATTTATTTTAAAAGGTAAAACATCCGTAGAATAAAGCGTTTTGAGGAAAACTAGACCAGAAAATAATAAATCGCATTTTTAGAATTCTAGGAATTATGGCGAAATGAGTTTGAAATTTTCGTGTTTTTTTTTTAATGACACACATATCACGAAAAATTTCTATAATTTTAATAAATTTTATATTACAAATTAATTTTCTATATTTTCAATATAATAAGTAAATAATATCTAAATGTCTATTTATTCCTTTCTCTGAAATAATTTGCAAATTTTGCTTTTAATTTGACCATTTGATTACAAATAACATCCGATCCTTTCTTTACTTTGGCAATTAATGTATTAATATTACGAAAATAATATTCATTATCAATATTCTTATTTACAGAATTTATTGTCAAGGAAGATAATATATTATGTTTGAATGTACGTTATCTAAATATTTCTGCTGATACACATTTCGAAAAGTCCTTGATTATTCTTCAACTCATATGTTGCTTTATGATACATAAGCAACAGTAAATATATATAAAAAAAATATTAATATATTTTAGAATTCATTTTAAAATAAATAATTTTATCTACGTTTTTCCATTCAAAGAAAATGATTTCAAGAAAACGAGTATTGCATATACATATTATTTGAAAACAAAAAATTCGGATAATAAAGCTTATTAAATTTGTTTAATTTATGGTTGAAACAGAATAACGCGTTTTTTTTCAAATGATATATTGGAACTATTAAAAGAAATGTACATATAATGATAAAAGTGACTATATTAACATATAAAAAAATAAGGAAATTAGTAAATTGTAAATTGAATTGTAAACTTATTTACCTATATAAGATAACAAAATAACAATATGTAATTAAAAAAAAAGTTTATATTTAGTAAATAATCAGTCTTAGAGTATATCAATTTTACAATAATTTTCGGTATTTCAGATAAAATAGAGCTTTATAATTCTTTGACATCTCTAAAGAACTTGGTAATTTTTTGTTGAACTATGAAATAGCTTTATTTGAATATACAATTCCGAACAAATTGACGGGATACTCGGCCTTCTTGGATCATCTTTCCCATGGTAAAAATGTGAAGCATTCTCGTGAATACGCAGTAGAAGAATAAATTTGGACACAATTTTAATTGGCAGTTCCAGTATGCTAGCGCTATGATATGCAGGAAAGTACATTTGAGCACAAATTTGATTGGTCGTTTCCAATATATTATCGCCATTATGCTTTATCTCATATAATAGCAAGTTTTTACAATATCATTTATCCAGATAAGGTGAACGCTCATGTTATCTTCTTTCTCAATGAAAAATGAGTCTAGGGCTAGGCATGTATTTCAAATACTTTTATTTAAAACACACTATTTGCAATACAATATATTTTTTATTTCAGCGGATCGTATAGAAGTATTACGTGTTTTATATTTAAAATCGAAAGATTGAAAGCTTTTTGTATTTTGTAATTCAAATACTGTTTCGCGTCGTGAAGTGATACTGAATCTTTTCTTGTTTAACATATTTTGTTTCTCTTTCTATATATTCGAAGAAAACAACCGCATAATATACCACATTCTTCTGGACAAGGGCCTCTCCCCGGAAGTGGAACTTTAAGCTGGCTTCAGAGCTCAGTATTTTACATGTTCACCAAGCTGGCGAACTAACAAGAAGAGTATATAGAAAGAGAACCTAAGATGTATTATTAAGTGTGTCAAACAAGGAAAGATAGCCCTTCCTATTATGAACAGTCCGTAGACGGAAAGAGCAGAGATTTAGACAGAGACACTGTCCAAATGCACACACCATGTCTCTTCCATAATGTTACTGGGTCTTAACAACTAATTAAGAAAAGAATGACTTTAGCGTTCACCGTATCTGGATCCACATTATTGCAAAAATTCCTTATTTATATCATAGTCTTACTTATCTTCATGGTTAGTCGTGACGACGAGATTGTCTGTAAATTTCATGGAGAGATGGGTGGACTCTTCTTGCTGGCTCGACAGCTTGGTGAACATGTCCTTGAGTTTGACCGGATTGCGCTTCTGCTGCAACATCAGGCAATTAATAACGACTGAAAACAACTGTTTCGGTCGCTGAAGTTCCACTTCCGGGATGAGACCTTCATCCAGAAGAACGCGGCATATTATGCGGTTGTTTTCTTCGAATATTTTCATTACAAAAATAAAAATGAAAAATACATGCAAACATAAATGTTTCCGATTCTATACCCGATATCACATAAAGAAAAAAAATAATAATATTCGTATATATTGTATTATTATATTAAAACAGAAGAACAAATTGTTTCACAGAAACAACACAATATACGATTAATTTTTATCTTCTACTCTATTTTTACTTCTTCTTCTTCTGAGTTTTTTCCTGAGCCTTTTCCTGAACCTTCTCCTGGATCGCCGGTTTGCCGGTATGCTGAATCTTGATCGTCCGTTCGTTTTGCGTCTTCGGTTTATCCTTCCTAGGTACGGTGATGCTCAGCATGCCATCTGATGACAAGCTCGACGACACCTGATCGATATCGCACTGTTCAGGTATCATGTATTTGCGCACAAACTGCCGTGAGATCCAGCCGTGCTCGTCCTGCTTCTCCTCGTGTTTGGCCTCGACTACCACGAATTTGTCCACGACTTTGACATTGATCTCTTCCGGCTTGAACTGTTGCACGTCCAACGTCACCTGGAACTTGTCCTTGTCTGCCTTAATGGTCGATATACCACTTTCTTCTCTGCTGCGTAACAGTTCGCCCCATGGTCGACTATAATACATCATAGCCCCTGGACGTAGACGCCGGGATGGTTGTTGCAGCGCGAAGCGTTCGAGGATACTGGGATGTGTCAGTTGTTCCAGAGACATTCCGAGACCGAAGTTTTGGTCGAAAATCCAATGTGGATATTTCAGCTCTTCCCACCAGTCGGAGAATAGCAACGGCACCAGAGACATGCTTTCTCAAGAAAGACTTGATAAAGAGACATGGAAGATCTCGAATGAAATTGGCTGATGAAACTCGGTTGAGAGTTAATTGGTAGCGAGCCGATTCGTTTTCAACGATTCACATCGATCAAACTTGCGATTGCTTTCTGTCAACAGCCGGCTAGCGTCGCGTGTTTTATAGCCCCGCAGGTAATTGCAGGCACACACGACGCTGCAGATGTGATATCGCGTAGCTTCGAGAACATTGGAGAACGTTGGAGAACGTTCATAGACCGATTAGAAGTTAGCGCGCATAAATATAAGCACATTCGAGAACAAACTAGCAATTTCACACTACGCGTTTGCAGTTCTTTCTCAATGCGTGCACTGTGTTTTTTTTTTCACTTGGAAGATTATAACGTATTGTCACGTACGTAGTGGAGTTTTAGAAGTAGTAAAATTTTAGATTCGAGTTTTGACGTATAAAAGATCTGTTTTCTGTAGCTGAACTGGTATCACACTTATGGAATTCAAAGTGAGATATGTGTTTGTTATTTACATTGTTGGACATATATTTGAATATTTTAATTTATTCAAAAAATAGTATTTATAAGACAATTGTATTTTGTATTTTGAAAGTAAAAATATTTCGTATTTTGTATTTCAGTATTAATAACGAAAAATTGCAAAAGTGTTTTGTATTTTAAATGTTAAGATAAGCAAACAATCTTATTTTATGTGAATTACAAGATACAAAAAACTTTTAATCTTTCATTTTTAAATTTAAAATATGTAATACTTTCATGTGCTCCATTAAAATACAAAATACACTTGTATTGCAAATAACGTGTTTCAAATACTTTTATGCCAGCCTCGAATATTTAACGAAAATGAGAAAGAGAATTCAGTGTTGTCTAATGCAGAAATAAAAAACGGATCTAAAAAAAAATTAATTTCAGCCATTATTCACAATAATAGATATCGGTAGTTAAATTCAATAGAAACATATCAATTTTAATGCAGTAAGATGATTTATCATAGTAGAGTAATATCACAAGAGATATCACTTTTTTATTTAAGATTTTGAGAAATCGCAGTCATACATCAGAAAAGAGCAGGAACATATAAGTAATGTGATCGTAAAATTGCAAATTTATTCTCGAATGTGGTTCTAGCTTATACGCGTCCGATTATTATCAATTCATGAATCTCGAAGTTACACGACGTTTTAAGAATTTAAAAAACAAATTTTCGATTAATTTGATCGAGAAAATTTTATTTCGAATGCAGTGAGTCATAAAACAAAGATGCTATATATACAAGAAGTACAAATAACTAATTTTTGCTACAAATTATTATTGAAAGTGGTTGAGTAAATAATTTATAAGAATGAATTTTAGTGACGTGCGCCAAAGATTGTGTTGCAAACGATATTGTTTTACTTTTTTTTTAAATAAACTTTTATTACTTTTATTACTTTTTTTTAAATAAACAGTAATTTTATTCTTGTACACATGCTGTAATTTTTTGCAATTCAATGTTTCTTTTACGTTTTCGGAAGTTCGTGATTTATCATGTTTACGTAAGCGCACTAACAATAAGCGAAAAATATGATTGTTTTTTTTTTTTAAGAACTGAAGACTTTCTGAAGGCTGACGAGATGAGATTTCTTATTTGCTTTTGCGATGTTATTTTTTAACGCTGTCGACCGAGTTATTTTTGTACACATAATTTGCTATTTTATATATATCATTTTCATTATTATTATTGCTCATTACGTATTATTACAATAATAATTGTTATTAATCTCTATATACAGAAAACACATAGTTGCTTATTTAAAAAATTGTTCATTTTGCATACATATTTTTTTAAAGCAACTGTGTATTTTTTGCACCAATTTATTTATCTTGTTATTGTTTATAAAAGTATTAAGGTGCAATTATAAAAAAATTAGTAATTTACGAGTTATTTAACATTTTATATTAATAAATACGTGCACAATAAAGTATAAAATATCTCGTAAACTATTGGTTTTTTTTATATCACTACCTTAATACTTTTATATGCAGACTAATTAGAGGAACCATAGTAAAAAAAAATCATACCATTTCGTTTAAAAAAGTGGAAGTGATCATGTGACCTTGAAAAATCAATTTAAAAAAAAAATGATTTTATCATTATTTGTTCCACTTCGAATCATATAACTTTTGTCTGAAATATTTTCCCTACCGTTTAATTTTTGAGATATTCAGATGTTTTGTTTTAGGTGTCCCACCCTGTATATGTATATGTATACGCGTGTTTAAGTACAATAATATATTATATCATCGTAATGGTGAATTATTGTACGTCAACTTAAATTAAAAATTTTTTTAAATAATTAAACATTTTAGTCGATCGTTATTTAAAAAATATGTACAAAAAAAGAAAGAATTAAAAAACAGAATTTTTAATTAATAAGATAAAAAAATTGAAGAACGATTCTTTTTATATATATATAGATTTCATATTTATTATACTTACATTTATTTTTATTAAAAAATTTCCTTTAAAAGATTTCTTTTTTTATTCAAGGACACGAAGAATACAAAAAATAACATACTATTGCATTAAAATTTTTAACTTTATTTATATTGATAAATAATAGATATAAATAAAGATTAGAAAATCTGTAAACTCTTCACTTGATTTTTTTTAACTTAAGAATTAATTAATAAAAATTTTTTTTTGTAATCTTTATAGAAATTTAATAGTAACCGTTTTTAATGCTGAAATAGTAAATGATTTATTTCTAGTATTAAAAGCAATACTGTTCAATGCCTTTAGTATTCTAAGTAAGAAATTAATTACTATCTTTCCGTAATAAATAGGCTAATATTAGATTTCTGTAAAAAAATTTTACTGTAAATTGATCAAAAACCTATATACATAGAAGTACAGAATATAAAAGTATTTTAAATGTTTCAAGTGGCTTAGTTGAAAAATGAGAAAAATTATTAATCTTTGAAATGCATGATCACACACACACACACACACATTCGCCAACTATATTGACTAATTGTTCGCAAACACTGTTTGTAAACGGTACGTGTAAGAAGTTCGCGATCCGTTTTCGAATATTTATGAAAATTAAACATGCTGTGCTGTTCACTTTAGATTTTGTCGGTTTCTTCACATGGGATGGTCATAATTGATTATTCAAAAACCTATTACATTAAATAGATGCGATTATAAATTAATTGTATTCTTTTTATTAGAGTACAATCTTGTTTGTGACTCTTGTTGACCCTCAAGACTAAAAAATAATTGATTAATTATTTGAATAATCGATTATTAATTGATTATATCCATTTCTATTTCTTCATCATGTTACCGTTCTTAGAACGAACTTGTAAAGAACTACTCATAAACAACAACTCAAAAAATTACAATCAATCACGAACAACTTATTAACCGTTTGCAAACTGCACTCACGAATAAATGTTCGATCAGAAATAAAACGATTCGCGATCTGTTTACAGACTGTTCGCCAACTCCGCTAAAAACGCATCTTTTATAAGTCTGATACTATGTCTCTTCCACAATGTTACTTAAGAACTGGTCTTAAGAATTAATTAAGAAAAGAATAACTTTAGCGTATCTGGATCCATATTTATTTCCAAAATTCCCTACTTACATCATGGTCTTACTTGTCCTCATGCTTAGCCGTGACGACGATATTGTCTGTAAATAGGTTTAATGAAGAGAGGTTCGAAGAGGTCGACTCTTCTTGGTGGTTCGTCAATTTGGCGAAAATATTCTTGATATCGGCCATATTGCGCTTCTGCTGTAACATCAGGCACCGAGTGACAACCGAAAATAACTGATGTTTCGGTCGCTGAAGTTCCACATCCGGAGAGAGGCCCTCGTCCAAAAGAAGGCGGCATATTGTCTGGTTGTTTTCTTCGAATATTGGCTGGGGCGGCTTGGACATTTAACGAGATTTCTCTCGCACAATAATTTGCGATACGCTCCAAGTAGATTACGATTCGATTCCTAAAATTGTGAATTAAGTCGTTTGTTACAGCTATCTTACGGCTCTATATTAATTAAAATATTAATATGCATTGAATAGTAACTATAGTTAAAAAAAAAACACAACAACGTTAACAGTTTAAAAAAACAATTAAAAAGTTAATAACTTTTAATTTAACTTAATTAATTTTAAATGCATTAATTTTTAACTTAATTTAGTTACTTTTGAACTTTAATTTATTAACTTTTTTTAAATTAAAAATTTTTCTACCTCTCTTAATGTTAATATTTTTTTTCTATAAAGTTTTAAACATTAGAGAATTAATTTAGAAAAAGTTTAATGATTTTATAATGAGAAACTCTATAATAAAAGTCACACTATACGATAACCAGTTTTTATTGACTCGCTAGGTTTTGTCAATTTCCGCTTATATTTGAATCACACTAATTTTATATCATAAATGTTATATTTCATCAACATAAATATGAAATGAGCCTTAGATGAAGAATTGCTGTAGAAAAACTGCACATCCACCCATTTTCTAAATTTTTACGTTTATCTTTGTAACAAATATCTAGTCAATGTAGTCGTAAATATACATGAGCAGTCGTTTTAGAAGTTAAAGAAAGTTAAGCGTGATTTACACGGGGCGACTTTTATTCGCTAAAAGCCGCATCTGGTGACGTCATTAATTCGCCAGTGAATTCTCTCGACTCTGCTGCTATTCGCTTGAAGCAAGCTTCTTAATTCGTCCGCGAATTCGCTGATGCAAGCTTCTTATACACGCTTGGTTTTTATTCGCTAGCGACTAAAATTGTTGAATTCGCTGCGTTAAGTGATCGCTAATAGTGATCAAGCGAATAGTTGGTCAGAAAGCACAACAGCGGCTCGAAATATGTTATTCGATGACATGATTATTCTTTGATCTCTTATTGCTTATTCTCTGGTCTGAATGGCCGAGACGTTCCGGAAAAATTCGTCTTTCCACTCTGACGACTTAAAAATTCACTCTGGAAGAGTAGCAAGAAGCTAGCGACAAGCTAGCGACAAGGGTTGAAAGCGGTACTCGCCGCGACTACGCTATAAGAACAAACCTGCGTCTAGAAGAAGTTTTTAGTAGCGAATTCGCTAT